AGATAAGAGTGTTCTCACATCCTTACTCTTGTGCTCACTCTGTCTGTGTTTCTCTCCAAGTCCCAAGGGGAGAAAAAAAAGCAGCCAAAAACATGAGGATCACAATTGGAAGCCAGCCTGCACAGAAAAGTCTATGAGACTCCATCTGCAATTAGCCATCAAAATGCTGGACTGTAGGAGCCATGTTTGAGCAAGAAAACTGAGTGAAAGCAAGAAACCCTGATTTCAAGTCCTGGTACCAAAATGAAAGGAAGGAAGGAAGAAAGGGAAAAGGAAAGAGAAACAGATTGGGGAGGGTGCATTTCTGATTCAGAATGCAGAAAGATAACAAGATGACATCTGTCTGTAAGCCAGGAAAAGATCCACCATCAGAAACCAAATTTTCTATTACAAATTGTCCTTAATCTTCTACCATGAGAAAATAAAGTCTTTCTTTTAAGCCCCTCCCCTCCTGCAAAGCAGTCAGACAAGCTTGTTGAAACCAAAATGATTCTAGCTAAGAGAAATCAAGTCACCAGTAATACTTCTCCAGAAAAAAGCATATCGGAAGAACTGTACAAATTTTTTTTAAAAAGAACTGTACATATTATCTTTCAAAGTGGATTACAAAGATTGGGATTGTGGTTTATTAGGGTGTTTACCTAGCATGCATGAGGCCCTAGGTTCAATTCCTTGGTACCACATAAAAACAAACATAAAAAAGATGTATACCTTATGATTGCCAAAGAAGCTGGAAGTAAGTCAAAAGCCCATGGTAGAAATAGATCTTTGAACTTCACACAGGAGGAAGTGGTTTAGGAGAATTTGGGCTTCCAATAAACTCTGAGGTCCTGATATTCAGCTATCCATCTATCTATATAGACTTAAGAAATGGTTTACTTATCTGAGTGAAGCCCCTAAATAGAGTCTTTATTGGTAATGACATTGTGAGTTTCTACTCTTTCAATTGTCAGTTTCTCATCTATTCTTGCAGCAGCTTGTGTGATTGCAGTAAGTCTCTTGATTTTTCTAGACTAGTATCTAGAAAAGAGATAACCCATGTAATGCTAACATTCTGTTGCTCATATTCAGCATGCTCCATAGAGGTTCAGAGGACACTAGGCCTCTTGGTATAAATGAAGGAGTTTCTGTTGACATGAAGACATTGTGTTAGTGGACCTCCTGAAACACCATGTCTCAAGCTGTTCACGGTCAGTTTATACAAAGTGTATTTCAAATGCTGCCTTCTAATAGCACTGTGAGTAAATCAAATACAGTATCTACTTGGCCTAGAATTCTCTCAAGGAACACTTTTCTCTCCCTAAAAGGTTAGTAAAATTAACTCTAAGATGAAGTAGAGAAAGGTGTCTTTTGTCCTAAGGGTGCCACTCATGCCCGAGCATACCTGAACTGAGATAAGGGGGAAAGGGAAGAATAGAACCTAGAATATCTTTCGGAGAGGTTTTTCAGATACTGGTAGCGAATCCTACTCAGGGTAACTCACCTTTCCCCCAGAATGATCACTGCACAACTGGTCCAGGGGACGTCCTGATGTACACCCAGAGGCCTAGTGCCCTCTGACTCCCATTCCGGTGCCCTCAGAGCCACCTGACCTAAGTAACTAATATTATTTAAGAGCATTTCATTAAAGCCATCACCTGGCTAATCTTTTAAATAAAATATGCCCAACACTCCCTTTAATTTATAAGAAGGGAAACTAACCTATGTAAAAGTGAAGGAAATTAGATATAAAGCCCAAGTGCTAGCTACAAAGCTAAAGAGCAGCACTCTCCACAATCATATGGTATTTGAACTACAGATACCACGCAGGTATCTGCAGGCTTCTCTGCAATTACACTGGAAAGTGCAAGCTACTCCTGACAAATACCACTCTGTTTTAGAATTCCAACTTTTCTTTTTAGTTAAAAAAATTTGAACGTAATGCATCAAAATTATAGCTATCTATGGACACCAGGGGATATTTTGATACTTTTTTGAGCTGAGTGTTTCACTATCTAGACTAATATGAGTCAGATTAAAATTACCCTAGTACCTGTTGAGTTCTCCAAAACCTCTCAGGTTTTGGCCATTCCATGACATATAGTCAGCCCTCATTAAGTAATATGGTTCTGAAGAGAAAACCCAGGGAGGTCGATTTTGGCATTCTATTTAAGTCATGCTTAAGTCATACTGTCTGAAATAATGGAGGAAGTCATGGCCAGTCCTACTGCAGTGTTAGATATCAGAGTAGTACTAGAAAAGCCAATGCTAGATAGACAGGACTTAGTTCTTCCATATGTCCTTTCTTTCCTGTCTTCATCACAAAGATGACTAGGACATCCTGGGTAGTACCTCAAGTCTCTGTTTCTTCTGAAGCAGGTTTTTTCTTGGTTCATCTAGAACACAGCACCCACCATCATACCTCACACTTCCTCTAAAACCCACGCCCATTTCCCAACAAAGGTGGGTCTGGTTATGGAGTGAGGACAGGAGTCTTGTCCTGGTTCAGTGGTTGTTTGGATGTTTCCAGGAACAAGCCTCAACACATAAACTTAACAAGTGTTACTATGCCTCTCTTTCTCCTTTGAGCATTGAGCCCACCCAGGAAGACAGACTTGGTGGCCACTCTTGTTTATATTGGAGAAAAAGTAAATCCAAAGAGATAAAGTGATTGGCCCATGATCACATGCATTAAGTACCAGAACTGGAGTGTAAACCTCACTCTTTTGGCTCTAAGTCTTGTTTGTTCATAGGCTTTATGAGTGCCCATTTCTAAAGCTTCCTTTCCTAATACAGAGTTTAATCACATTCTCCCATAGGATAGAAAGGATTCTCTAAGACAAAGCTTGCTAAACCACTTTTCCATTCGGGCATTTTTCCTATGGCAACCTAGAGGAAGAACATTCAAATCGAGAGAATAGCAAGTGCCAAGGTCAACCAGAGGAGAAACATATATGAACATTGATGAAACAGCATCAAGTCTAGTGATCAGAAGCAAAAGTAGTGAGGGCTGCATGGTATCGGTGGAACCCATTCATGTAATAAATGCCTTATGGTCCATGTAAAGATTTTAGCTTCTATTGTATGAGAGATGGGAAGCATATAAGAATATTTGTGTAAAATAATGGCATTATATATATATAAGTTGATATATTTTAGAACTGTTATGTTCAGAACTCACTGAAGGGAGGAAAAGCAGAAGCAGGAGAATAACTAGAATAATTACTGTAGTGATCCAGGACAAAGATAACTGGTTTAGGCTAAGAGGTAGTAGTGGAGGTAGAGTTGGATTCTAGATATATTGATAAAGGAAACAGTAAATACTGATAAATAAGATGAATAGCACTATGTATGGGAGGAGATAGCACTAGACAGGAAGCCTGGAATTCTGAGCCAGAGTTTCTACTTCAGCATATATTTACAGTGCCACTGGAAGAAAGTCAAGGAAAAGTTTGGAATCTCATTTTTTACACCTTCAAAAATGGAATTAAATACTTTCCCTGCCTGTGAGGATCAAATCGTTATGATATGGGTGGAAATGACTTGCTTGGATTTTCAAACTTCTCTGTGACCTTGAACAAACTACTTAGCCTAAGCAATTGTCAATGTTTAGATTAAATCTGAAATACCTTGAGCATAAATACAAAAAAAGTCCCTCAAAAACATTAACTTTGTGAGATGATTTAAGAAGCTTCATTTTCAAAAAGTAAATTACTATCTTGATAAACTATGGATAGCCATAGAAGAAAACTGATTCAAGAGAGTTGTCTTAACTGAAGTCTGTGGTCCCTAGTAATATAGATTTTGCCCTTTTTGTACCTAGATTTGTGCGCTGCAATCTTGTCAGTCAGTGATGACTACCCACCAAGAACAAAAAAGCCCTCATTTAGGTTTCATTTTCAGTCAAGCACAAAAGGTTTCTTTTGTTTTCCCCTATCAATGAAGAGTCACTACCACTCTGGAATTTTTCTAAAATTTTAACTAAAATACATGTGATTGGATTATTCTAAATGACTCAAGGGCTTACAACTTTCCTAATTTTACTTAAATATTCAAATAGCTAGCTCTCTCTTATAAATACAAAAACAAAATCCATTATTAAAACTTTCAGATGAGTTAGGGGAGCTAGTGAGCCCCTGGGGGAGGGGAAAAGGTTAGACATGAAGCTCCCTGTTGATCTGTTTTCTCCAACAAAGGGGCTTGATCCAAACTAGCCCTTTTCTTCTCTGTTTGCTTCTCTGTAGCCCTGGACAGTCTCTATCAAACACACCTGTGCCAATTCTAGTTGAAAGGTCCATTGTATTCATAAATGGATCTGCTGAATGGCAAATTCTTTTGTCTAATTACTTAATTAAAAATAATCAAAGTAGTTTTTAAGAGTCAACAGATTAGCTGTCTATTAAAGCCTGTTTAAATGGAATTATTCTTGGTGAATAAGGGTTATAATTGGCTCTGCAGAATTCTAGATTTGGTAGGGGAGATCTCAGAAAAGAAATAGCTTCAATAAAATTCTGATTAAATGGTGAAATATTGGATATAGTGCTGAGAAAGCTGCCTGGCGTTCCTTTGCGATAGGCTCATGAAATCTTCTCATTATAAGAGAGGCCATCCTGTTTGAAAACTTCTGCTTTTAATGGTCTTATCTAGCACTAAATCAGATTATGGACCATAATCCGGTGATTGCTACTAAATCCAAAACCAAAACCATATGAGCTAGTCAGTGAGCAAAGGCTGGTATTTAAAAGCCAAACCAAAAAGAGCATTCAGAAGAGAGAACTCTAATTGATAGATAGGGTCATATCAAAAGGACACACCTTCCTGGAAAGGGGTAGACAGGTCCTGGAGGAGCTCATAATGACCAGATCAGACACATCTGACTTGTGATCTTATGATGAATTAGAAACCGCAAATATATATTTTAGGGAGTAAAAGATGGAGAAGAGGGGAAGGTTTTGGCCATGGAGAGAAAAATATGATTATTCTTTATTTCCATGTCTCCCAAGAGATTACCACACATCAAATATTTAGAGTTGACACTTTTAATTGTTCAGCATTTTAATACAAATATAAGAAATAATACAGAATTAAATAACACATGGAAAGTTTACTAAATATATAAATATCCAATTCAACAGTGAAAACAGCATACAATTTAAATCCTACATCACGGGATAAAGACGAACAAAACAAAAGCTACTGGAAAAGTACTAGTTTGGACTTGATGGGTATTTCAAGATCAATATTGTTCCACTACTTAGAACAATATCTTTAGAACACAGGGACTGGATGTTCATAGATGCCTTCTCCCCTTTTGTGAAAAGTTAAATTACAGATAAAGAAACCAGGAGAGACAAAGCAGATGAATCAGCTGACTGCACAGGAAATCTCCTAAATGTTTATTTTCATTATATATTTTTATGATACTAGGCTGAGTTCAGAATGCCCCAAAATAGAGTCATATCATGACACACATGGACAAGGAAAGCATGCTATCTTAAAGATGTAAGCAACTGTCTAATACTAACAATACTGTCTAAGCTCCATAAAAATAAGTTAAATAGATAAGGTTGACAATGTTATTTCACAATAAATTCTGTCTTACTTTCATCTCTCATTATCCTAAATTCCCTAGAAGCACTTGAAGAATGACAGGGCAACCAAGAAATCAAGCCAGGCCAACGATTAGCAAAACAGGAAGAAGCTAGGGGCAATACCAAACAGTAGGGAAATACGTTCACAGACCTAAGAACAAAAGAAGGCGTAACACCAACAGAAAAGTTCTTTGGGCCTCTCTGTATTCTTTCTTGTCATTCTTTTCCATCTTTCCCTCTTTACTTATTTCCCTTTGAGTTTTTCTCTCCCTAGAATGATACCAATTTTTAGTGCTGCATGACAAATTATCTAGTCCAATTCTTCTATATTTTAGATGGGGATGGGGAAGCTCATTGAGGTAAAGAGGCTAACATTGGCTTCCCACCATTGGGACCCCCAAAATCAGCTTGTGAGCTCAGCACTCCTGATTCAAATTCAAAGTCCAAGCCCCTTTCAACAGCACAACACTGCATTTGCGCTACAAAATCAAGTCCTACAACAGACCTGAGAGGTAAAAATGACTTCCTCTTGGAACTCAAACACTGAGTAGCTTAGATGGCAGTGACAAGTCGTGGAATTCTTAAAACATTTGCTCCCGCCTCTTTTGCTCGTTTAGGTCCCTTGGAGAATGACCCCTTTTCCTCCTGCTTTCCTTTCACATCAGATTCAAGTAGACCAGGGAAAAACTTTCAAGGTTCTCTGTGACTCCTCTAGGCCTCTGGATAAAAAAAAGACCAATGTATTAACTTTGGATATTGATAAATTCTGTCTTAGTATATTTCATGAAGATAAATAACAGAAAGATTCGAGGAACTCCTAAATCTAGTGTGTACGTCATTGATAAAGATAAGGCAATAGACAAAATAGACAAAATCTGAATATGATGTGAGTAGATTATGATTCTTTAGCACATAGGTAGCCCTAAAAAGTAATGGATTGGAGGGAGAATCACTAAGACTATGTACAAAGGGATATAATTTGGAAGGCCATGTGACTTAAAGGTACTGTAATAATGAGACATTGAGCTTTGTTTCCTATGGATCCTAACGTGTTGAACATTAGGTTGGCGATAGGCCATTTCAAGAGCTGTTGACTTCCTAGGGTATACACTGGGGAGATGTGGTCTCCTTCTCTACAAGACACTGAAAGAAAAGACCTAGACCATACTCTTGGCACTTCTTCTCAATTTCTGTGTAATCTCAGGTATTTCTTTACCAGAACCTCCAAAGTTCTACCTATTTTAGATACTGCCAATAGATCCAAATCAGCTATCAATGAATGGTCCATTGAAGTGTTATTATCCTCTCAATGTAACTTAATGCTATTAAAAATAAATTCAAATGAAATTACTCAAGAAATGAAACAAATGAGATCTATTCCATAGTTTATCAAATTCAACAGATGAAGTTACTCTGTCAAGTTGTTCAGTGTCTATTTGTTCTCAATTATGTATGTATTTTATAGAAGTATCACTTGGATGAACAACCATCTTCAGACAGTATTTTGAGTACTACTGCTCTAAGCCTTAGTGACATTTCTGTCTTGAGTTTTCACATCTGTAATTCTTTCTCTGACAGGTATTCCTTTGTCTCCTCCAGGGCTACTTTAGTATTCATTCTCCTTCTAGGTCTCTGATTCAACATCACTTACTTTGAGAAGCCCTCTTTACAAACTATAGATAGTTCCTTCTTTAAGTTATTCTCTTTCCTTGTATGCTATGTATGTTTTCCTTGTAAATATATTCCCATGAGTCTCATTAAAGAGTATATTATACCCTAATACATGTGGTCTTTGGCCTGTAATCTGTAACCAGACTGGCAATGTCCTGTCCTCTAATATAACTCACAACAGTTATAGTGAATAACTTACTAATAAATATTTGTAAAATGAATAAATGAATAAACTTAACTCCTGTGGTCATTGGCTTTATCATCTGTACAATGGAAATAACTATACTTTCTTTGAAAACTATTATGAGAATTACATATATGTTTTCACCCAGAAAGTCCAGACTTTTTGTCCTGTGAACATCATTTAAATATATATACATGTATGTATGTATATATGTATGTATTTATGTATGTATGTATAGTCAGTTATGGGGCTTGAACTCTGTGCTTAAGTGCTGTCCCTGAGCTCTTCAACTCAAGGAGAGCACTCTACCACTTGAGCCACAGTGCCACTTCCGGATTTCTAGTGTTTTATTGGAGATAAGAGGCTCACAGACTTTCCTGCCCAGGCTGGATTTGAACCATGATCCTCAGATCTCAGCCTCCTGAGTAGCTAGGATTAGAGGCTTGAGCCACCAATGCCCGGCTCCATTTAAATATTTTAAAACATCTTCTATTCCCTCTTTTTATTTCCAATCACATTCTCACTTCTAACTTTTCTTCTCTAAAATTTAAATTTAAATCATTCTTCCTCTAAGTGGTAAGACTATTCATTTTGGATTATCAATTAGTTATACCAGAATTTACAAATTTTGTATAAACTAACTACTGACTGAAATCCAGAATAATGACCCTACTGATGGCAAAGTTTTCTTTAGGGAGATTCTTTCAGTCTCTTAAACTTGATGTTGAATGGTTAATAACTTGATTCTGTAGCTGGTTCTAAAAGTTTCTTTTCTTCACTAAAATAAAGTTTGTATATGAGATAGAAACTGTCCCTAGCATCCATCACCTCCTCCAACCCAATTCCAAAAGGGGATATGTTTTACTTATAGTCCTTAATAAAACAAAACAGGTTAGGAGGCTCTGAACTCTAGGATACATTCAGGATTTCAGGATACTGGTTAACTTGCAAATACCCAGGGCAAAGAGATTCTTACTGTCTTTTCTCACAGTTTAGGAATTGCTTTTTAAAAAATCATGTCATTCATAAGCATTGTGATAAGGGAACAGAAACTATGGAGTATGCTTAAGACACATGAAACCAAAGATCAAAAGTATTGTTTAATGGAGAGACAAGAGAACAGCTAAGCCATGGTAAGGATATGAAAGTAGATGGAAAATCCATGAATCGGGGCTTCTGGGAAACCTACAGTACCGTTAGACCTACAGTCAAAGTCAACCAGCTGTTCTTTCTGGCATCTGTCAGTTTTAGTTTCCTGAAAACCCATTCACACACATCCTTTCAGGAACTGTCCTCATTCCCCCTGCTACTCTACCTAACTCATAATAACTGTCCTCAAAACAGTTCCCTTACATGAAACAAAATTACAAATGCAAGGAAATTCACTTTGAGTATCACCTGACCCTTTTTCATTCTTGGTACAATTTATCAAAATAACACATGGATAAAACCACAGGCCTGTCAATTTAGGAATAACGGAAACTAGCATATATTAGAAACTTACTAAGCTGTCTTGGTATTCTAGGTCTTTATTGGCTTATACTGCTGGGTAAATTATTCATAGCTTGAAATTCAGCATGATGTGAATATATCCATCATAGTAGTTGGCAAAAGCAATTCCATCAGCTTTCCACCAAGCTAGTTTTCCACCACAGTATTAGTTTTAGTCTTTTTTTTCTAATTGTACATAATCTCTTCTAAGTCTTCACAATATGTTTATGAGGAAGTTACTATTTTTATCTCTTTCAAACAAGGGAAGGGAAAGCACAAGAATGGTGACCCCAAAGGTAGTTAGCTAATTTGTAAAGAGACAAGAACTTGATCAAAATCAGAGTAACTGGTCATTGATGCAAATAAAAGTAGCTGATTGAAAAATGACCATTTGTGTATGTCATTTATAATCATTCTTGCAAACCAGAAAGTTAAAATTTTTTAAATTGTTGAAGATAGAAATATAATATATTTGTAGAATATAGAAAATAATATATTTAATTTCTCAGTTATTTCATGCAGGTTTGATTAAGATAGAACAATTTCATTTAAATAGGAGGAACAAGTTCCAGAAATTCATTATACAACATCTTGACTATTGCATCAATGTATTCTATACCTGAAAATTTCTGAGAGCACAGATCTTAAGTGTTCTCATTACAAAGAAATAACTATGTCATGGAATATGTTAATTTGCTTGAGTTGACCATTCTAAACATCATATTGTACATCACAAATATATACAATTTTACTTGTCAGTTTGAAAAAAATAACATATATCTTCAATGATTAAAAGAAACTAATGTACTTAAGTACTAGGGGTTTTTAATTTAAAAAAACTATACTTTTAAAAGTCTTACAGAGTACAAAGCTAGCCTTTTCTCTTCATTCTATAAATATGGGATAAGGATGGAGAATTTACAAACCAATGATCACAATCTCAGAACTAAGAGCATTGATTAGTAGTGAAATATATGTGTATAGGTGTGTATGTGTGTGTATGTATAACTATTAGCTCTATTTTAAAACAGAACTTAGTGGAAGAACTACTTTACTGTATGTGGGCTGGAATCAATTTGGGTGTATAAGACTTAAAAAAATTTCTAAATGGGCTGGGAAGGTGTCTCAATGGTAGAGTGCTTGTCTCTCAAGCATGAGGCTCTCGTTTGATTCCTCAACACCACATAAGCAGAAAAAGCCAGAAGTGGTGCTGTGGCTCAAGTGGTAGAGTGCTAGCCTTGAGCTGAATAGCTGAGGGACAGCGCTTAGGCCCAGAGTACAGGGCCCACGACTGGCAAAAAAAAAAAAAAAAAATTCTAAGAATGATACAGAAAATATGGGGGGGGCGTCTAAAATATACTATGTCCTCATGGCCTTATTCTACAGGCATTAGGGACCCTGAAATCTGTTTTTAATGAGCTATGATACATGGGCCAAGACGAATCTGGCCATATCTAGTATCACTATACCCAGTGACCCAGTACAATTTTCCTGTTTTGATCTGCCATAAAGACTAAGATGGTAAAAGAAGTCAGAACTACTTGCCTCTATGACAGAAGGATAAGCAGAAAGAAGTAGGAAATATATGAGAACTGAGATTCCAACAAAAAGAATTAGTCTTTGCAATGTTTCAGTTAGTGCCGGTTAATAAAGAAACAGAAATTCTAGACTTGAGAGACAAAATACAGTCTTGATACAGTACTGCCTTGTTGGAAAGGGATGGGACAGGAATGAGAAAGCCAGAATTTTGTGTTCAGGAGTTCTGACCTGGTTCTGATATTCTTTGATCATGTAACCTTGAACCAAGATGAGACTATGGAATTATTGATACATATGCTTGCACTGGGAAATTACTTAATAGCTGTAAGTCTACCCAGCTTACTTATTTTGCTCATGTGATTAAGGACCCAGAGGCAGAGAGATTATCATCGATGATACAATGTAATCTCAAGGGTCTTTAAAAGAAAGAGGGAGAGTCAAAGTGATTTAACTTGAGAAAGAACTAAGTGGACCTGGATAGTTCTAAAGATGGAATGGGACCTAAGGCAAGGAATGTGGGAAGTCTCTAGAGGCTGGATAAAGAGAGTAGGATTCTCTCCTAAATCTTCAGATAGGATGTAGCCAGTAAGGATTGAGGATTAAGTCCAGTGAGGCCTATGTTGTATTTTTAACCCCACAACTGTAGAATAAAAAAAATGGAGTAAAATCCCAAGGAAAATGGAGTAAATCTCAAGGAAAATGGAGTTTGGGGTAATTTGATAAACCACAGCACAACCTGCCGTTTATAATGCTCCTTTCTAAGATAAGCTGTGTTGAATACTTCTATAAATCCAGTTTAAATATTACAAAGTTGATTTCTTTCTTAGGAGGGCACTAGCAGAATGAATCTGTATAGTTATGATCTGTTTAGTCTATTTTAGTAATCTGTTTAGTAATGAATCCATTTAGTGGCATGGATATGAATCTTCTGATGAAATACATGACAACTCCAAACCAAAAGGGACTGGAAATAGACACTGGATTAAGTGAAAGATAAAAGCAAAAATGCAAGAGAACCAAAGAATTTTGGAGGATTGTTTACTGGGAAGATTTTCTCCTCCTTCTGTTTTCATTAATTTGTCTAAAAATAAAAGACACAAATGCTACTCTTAAAAACACAATTTATGTTCATATCATCATTTTCAAGTTACTGGGTCCACCCTAGAGTCAGTTTTGCCTGATCATATTTCATCGCCCATTCAAAACTATCTTTTCAAAAGAAGACAGAGGAAAGAAAGGAAAATGAAAGGTAAATATATAGGACTATGCCCCTTCCTCACTGACTAACCATTAGAATCCTTACTTAGAGAAATAAAAATTGTCCTAAAAGTCTATGATTTATCTTTCCTTTCTGTATATCTTAAGATTTGTTCTTAATGAATCAGGTTTACCTTTGCTCTGAGCATTAAGAATTCTAACATAAAGGACATTCAGTTTTGCCAAATATAAGTACATGGAATCATATTCTGTGGCTGCTAAGTGTTTGAAATTACTCAAAAATCAACTCATTGAGAATATGCCACTTTATATTTACAGAGAAATTGATTGAATCAGCCTTATGTCAGGAAGACATCAGCAGCAAGTGGCAATCCTAGTCCCTACAAGATTCAACACAAGCTATAGTGTCTATTTTGTAAAGAGGCAAAGTTAAGCACAGAGATAAATCTGTTCTTTTTGCTCAAGAAAAAGATGAAGCACTGAAGCATTACATTTCCTAACAAATCCATGACTTGCTTAGTGGACAAAGGGCTAATGCTTTTCAAATATCCCAGCTTAGTGGAATTTACCTTGGGATTGAACAGATTGTATTATAAGACTCTTGTTTAAGAAGGACTTTCAACTGAATTTAAAAACTTTGGGCTTTTCTGCTTGTACATTCAAAAGGAACAGTACGACAAGCACAGAATAAAATGAATGCAACTGGTAACAATAGTTCCTTTCAAGTAAGGACTTTAGGTCATCAGTTATCAATGAAAGGGCATTTTGGGGGAAGTCAGGAGACTAAAGGTTTATCCCAGTCTCTATGAGCAGCTATGAGACCTTAGGGAAGAGAGTTTATTTCTTGGGCTTCCATTTCCTATTTGAAAAAGTGTTTGGGGTAAAGTGGAATCAGAGAGACTTTGCCCTTGATATTCTGTGCAATGCTGATGTATTTTTATGAGCTGAATTTGTCTACAATAAGATTGTCTAATCTTAACTTTATATCAGAGAACTAATTTCTTTTATCTACTTTTGCAAAAGGCCATCGACATTGCAGATATGATTCTTTTATAAATTCACAAATCCTGTGTTTACAGATGCTCATGCAAAATAAAGCCATCAAAGGGCCTGAAACATGAAAAATATAGACTATGAAATGTAAAACAAAAATGAAAATAAAATAGTATTTGAAGGAAACTTATCAAAATCTAAAACAAGACTCAAAACCAACAAGGTTTTCACCTGAAACTGATTTTCAGTGATCTGAGAAGAGGCAACTCCTCTATTACTCCTTCGCCCTAGGAAATTCCCATTCTACATAACATAAACTACAGCTTTATATCCAATTTAATAATTTGTTGTCTTCAGAAACCAAAGGGATTTAATTCCTTATAGCTTACTTCTATTGTTTTATGCCCCCTGTCAGTTGGTAATGTCTCATGATGCCTTGCTTGGACTTTACAGGAGAAAAAGTATTGGAAAAATCCACTTTGAAATCTATCAATTTAATCTCATCATTCATTCATTCATTCATTCATAGAATAAATTAACACTTATTGGGCACTGGGCATGTATAAGATGCTGTGATAGATGTTGTGGGGATAAAGAGAAATTTACAGCCTAGAAGGGCAGAATGACATGACACAATGACTATTAAGTGTGGATCACCTGTATGTTGCCGATAGTGTTTGAGACATCATGGGAGAGTAACATAGGAAGTGCTATTTAATGAGTGATCATATTGGACAATCTCACAGTCTCTTAAATGGGCATCTGGCTTGTGGAATGCTGTAAAAAGAGAAAAGATTGTCCTTATTAACAGGTAGAGAGGATCCTGCATGGGTGCCAGACTTCTTTCTTTGGTATGGCCATCAAACATTTCCATTGTGATCCAATAGACATTTCCCTTATTTTCTCTCATGAACAATTACTCTCAACTTATTAGCATTAAGCTGTCTTAACAAACTAAAAGGAGAAATGTCCAACTGCATGAAAATACCCTAAAGCACTTTAAAATACTATCAACATTTATGTATTTTGAAAACAACAGAAAAAAACATATTGCTAAATTCACCCTCTTTATTTCTTTGGGTAACCCCCAAATTAATATTACAGCATACATTAATTTGTTTCATTCTCCATACTCCCTGCAATAACTCACCTCGGTCCTGATTCCGGTGACGTTTCCAGTATAATAAGATTGAGATTAAGACCAGAAGAATTACCAGGGATACAATGCTTAACAACAATGGAACTGAAAACCAAAAGCCTGTGGATATTGAAGGGAGAAAAAGGAAAATGGAGTCACCAGAAGCTGTTGAAGCAAAATGTGATACAGCACCAGTTCTGATGACTGTTGCTAGAGTTGAGCATTCAGTTGAAATTATCCTTAAATACATACCTGCTGGAAACCTACATTTGTGACTCCATAGGATCTTAATGACAATTATATAATATCAGTAATATTTAACATGATTTATGTAGTTACTACATGAGATCTTTATATGTACTCATTTAATTTTCAAAACTTCTAGAAGTTGGGTATTATTATTATTTACTTTTATCATTATTCAACAGATTGTTTTTTTAACATCAGAGGCTCAGAAAAGCTGTGAGCTTGAAATCAGGGTAATTAACATAAGAATCAAAGTTTAGTCAAAAGTTTTGACCTTCAATGCACACGTTCTTTGCCACACTTCCATGGAAGTAATATATTACCTTGAAGAAGTTTTAAAATATACTGAGTGATCTACAGGGGAAAAAAAAGAAATTCATAATCTCAATCCCAGAAATAATGCCATTCCAATGTCCTCCTAATAACGCTTCTAATCTATGTGGTCTTTATTAATTCTTTTTCCAGGAGTTAATAAATACAACATAGCTAAACAGCTTCTCAGCATCACTTTGTAACACAAAGGAAAATCTCCCTGATTTGAAAGCCTCCAGCATCTTTGCCAGATTGAAGTCTGCCATATATAATTTAACCGAGAAACTTCAGACAGGAATTTGCCTAACTTTTATAACTTCACATAATGTCTTAAGCATGCAAACTACTTAGTAAATATCCACAGAATAAATAAACAGTACAATAAAGCCACCAACATAACCATTAATCACAGCAAAGGTATGGAGTCAGCCCAGATGCCCCTTGGTGGATGAATGGATCAAGAAAATATGGTATTTATACACAATGGGAAATTTACTCATCCATTATGATAACACATCATTTGCAAACAAATTGAAAGACCTGGAAAAGATTATGTAAATTGAAGTAGTTAGGGCCAGCGAGACAAAGGTTGCATGTTTTCTCTTATATGTGGAAGCTAGAAGTAGTTTGTAAACATGTAAGTAAATATGTTGAGTGGTATGCAAGTTTATACAAATATATTAATGGAAACATATTTGTATATTTGTTCTCAGGGGAGAACAAAAACAGTGTAATCCCCTAGAATGGCAAAAATCAACATCCAACAAAATAGACATCAGGAAATGGATACTTGAAAGGGATGGGGTAGGGTTAAGGAAAGAGGGGTAGGTGAATGGGGAAAAGAAGGAGAGAATGTAGTAAAAAAAATTCAATGTATATACTACAAAACTAAGAAATGTGAGGGCAGGGGTAGGTTGGGAGGGGTAGGGGAGAATGTTGAAGGGGTGACATTGATCAAGACACACTGTATTCACAAACTTCTTTATTGAATGGCATCTCCTTTGTACAAATACTTAAAGATAATGTAAAAAATAAACATTATACAAATGACATCAGACACGTGATGTGATTTGAGTCAAGTTCATCATCCCTGGAGAAGAAAATAAGTTCCTTTCTGGGTTCTACCACCACCACCACCATCCCACCAGAGGAAGTTACCCTCTGTCTTGGCAGAATCTGAAGATTACAACACTGTAAGCCTTTGTGATCAAATTCCCCTAGATCACCAGTTGCTGATGACTCTGAGTTTTCAGGGACCCCAGAAATGTCTCTTGGTGACAATTCTATCAATGAGGTGCTTTCCTGATTTTAATAGTTCAAAATATTCTCCAAAAAGACAGCAGAAATATATCTTAGGAGCCTTATTACTGAGTGTTTCATGCAGGCTTAGTGCTTCAAAACACAGACGGAAAGAAAACTAGCTGACATCATTACAACTTCTTATCTCTACAATCAGTGCATCCTCTTGAAAAATTCTCCTATCTTTTCTATAGGGTACAGAGATAATTAGTTTTGAGGGGAACATGAAAGAGCACAAAGGGACTTAAGGGCAGCTGGTCTTAGGAGTGAGGAAGACATTTTGAATGGGTCAGTCTTCCAGTGTAGGTTATACAGATGTTTCATTGTCTAGGAAACCTTGCAGATTGAAGTGTTGCCCATCCTCTCTGCTTTCAAAGGCTCTCATGCATAAACATTTGCTTTCTTATTGGAGCAGTGAAGGTGCCAGTTTTAATTTCCCACTTTGAGTTTCAGGGGTGGAGGGGGCATTTTCCTTGTGATGAGGTCTTGCTACGTAGTGCAGGCTGGAGTCAAATTCCTGTTCTTCCTATCTCAGTCTCCTGAATGCTCGGAAGACAGGTGTGTTCCATGACAATTGGACAAGATGCTTTTCTGTTTTGGTTTGTTTTTTCTATTGAACTAGATGTTTTCTGAGTATAGGGACTGATTCTTGTTCACAGGTGTGTGTGTGTGTGTGTGTGTGTGTGTGTGTGTGTGTGTTCAATTCAAAGACTGGCAGGTACCATACGTTCAACAGTAAATCTCCATAGAATGAGATAAATAAATGAGGAATGCCTATCAGCAATAGCATTTGGTAGGCAGGCAAAGTGTCGCATGACACTTACCAAAGTTTAGTCGTTCTGTTTATCTATGGTATTAGTTTCTATGATTTCAATTTCAACTGTGGTCTGATAATATTCAATAAGAAGTTCCACAAATAAAAAATTCATACAGTTTAAATCACATATCATTATGAGTAGTGTGTTGGCATCTGTAGTCATCCGATGCCATCCCAGCTGGACATAAATGATATTTTTCTTCAGAGTATCTACACTGTATACATGTCAGTCACTTAGATGATCAACTATTTTAGTATCACAGTGCTTGTGCTCAAGAAACTCTTATTGCACTTAATAATGGTTCCAAAACACAAATGTGTGTTGAATATCTTGTGATAATTATTGTCTTTTAATTAAGATTTGTTATCCCCTTACTGTATCTAATTTAGAAAGGTACTTTACTATGGGTATGTATGTATTTTTGTATGAAAAGAGGTGAATCTTGATATTAATTATCTACAGTTCCAGCTACACACTGAGGATCTTGGAATGTATCATTTGTGCATAAAGGGAAACGACTATAAAACTTGTTTTGTTACCTTAACTCTGTTGCTCTGCATACATACCCCATATCCCCACTAATTATTGCCTTTTGGGGAGAGGCTAAAAGTCTCTAAAAGACCTTACTACCATCTAGATGATTATACACAGATAACAGCCATAGCCACTTTGGCTACCATCTCTTACCTTTATTCAGTGTTTCCTTGTAGTCAGTCAAAGTCCCCAGGTGCAACACCTGGCAGATCACCTCCTGGCCCACCTGATTCTTGGGGTCCTTGACCCGTAGGATGCTGGTGACAGATGTAGTCCCATTTGGATGTGACACACTCTCAGTACTATTGTCAATTCCTGACCCAGCAACCTTCCAGGCAATCACAGGGGCTGGGCGGGCAGTGGCAGAGCAAGTGATATTTAGGTGGTCTTCAAAGAAGTTGTAGTGAAGGGATACTATGGGCTGTACTGGGACAAAAAAAGATATGACCTGCCATCAGTTAAGCACCTAGTCTGCATTATGCATTTGCCTTATGGAGATAAGGGAAGAACCTTACAGAAAATCAGTAGATTCTAAACAGATAAGATATAACATCCCACTTCTGTCTCTAGGGTCTTCCTTGTTCTTCCGGTATTTCATTCTCCAGCAGGATGGAGAGTAGCCTGGTTCCAACATCTAGTGAGACAGGCCCTGTCTTTAATCTGTCCCCATCAAAACTGACTGGGTGGTCAGAAGTATTGGGAGATCAGATGACAATCTTCTCTCACAAATGGTCCAAACCTACTTATTCTGTCCTCTGCGCAAGCAATGCAACATCTTTGCTTTATTTTAGGTATTGCTTTGAAATAACTGGATAGTAACCAGCAAATGAGTCTTCTATGCATGTAGCCTGCTTCTACTAGAGGTAGTAGAGCAGCTCCAAGAGAGAGAACCCATATAGAGGCTACATCTTGGTAACAGCCATTTTCTCCTTAAACTAGACCACTAAGGAGATACAAAGAAGAGGTGTGGGAAATGCCACTTGAAAGCTCTTCACAAAATGTGGTCTAGAAAGTCATACCCCATAACCAGTAAAAATTAATGAGAAACAAAAAGACTTTGGGGATTTCCTAATAGAGTTAGGGGTAAATAATGACCTGTGAGTAGAAGGCATGAATTTTCAGGCCTGCTGTATGTGTTCCTTTTTCAAACTTCCTTGACCATTGCCTTGATTTTCATCAGAAAGAAGTTTCTCTGCCAAGCAAGGCAAATTGTTTTATTTCCCCCTATGTTTGACTTTGAGGCTCACAAGATCATTAAAGAGCTGTGCTAAAGGAACACTGGTGTGCACTTTCACTTTCAAGAGATGGGTGAATGGTGTGGCTGCAGAATGTATGCTGCAGAACTGTGGCTCCACTCAGTAGCTTCCCAGAGTTTAAACATTAGAAAAGACTGGTGGAAGAGAGATAAAAGCAAGGAAAGGATCCCCATATATCACGCTACACCAGAATCAACTCCAAATGGATCAAAGACCTCCAAGTCAAAGCAGACACTTTGAAAACATTACAGGAAGGAATAAGAGAAACTCTAGGACTCCTTGGCACAGACCAAAATTTTCTTAATAAAGACCGAGAAACACAACAAATCAAAGAAAGATTCGACAAATTTTCATGAAACTTCAGAGCTTCTACATGGCAAAGGACATAGCTAGCAAGATCAATAGAAAGCCCATGAATTAGGAGAAGATCCTCACTAGCCATACAAAGGCAAGGGTCTCATTTCTAAAATATACTTGGAACTCAAAAAATTAAATCCCCCAACAACAAATCCTCAAAGAAACAACTGCCCCATTAATAAGTGGGCTAATGACTTAAAGAGAGACTTCTCTGAAGAGAAAATAAGAAAGGCCAATAGAAATGCAAATCAAAACAACATTGAGATTCTCTCTCACCCCAGTTAGAATGGCTATAATCAAAAACTCTAATAACAACAGATGCTGGAGGGGATGTGGCCAAAAGGGAACCCTACTGCATTGTTGGTGAGAGTGTAAACTTGTTCAACCACTTTTGGAAAGCAGCATGGAGGTTCCTCAAAAGACTCCACATAGAGCTCCTCTATGACCCAGCAATCCCACTTTTAGGCATTTACCCAAATGATCACAAACAAGGCCATACTAAAGCTACCAGCACAACTATGTTTATCACTATTGTTCACTATAGCTAAGATATGGAACCCACCCAGATGCCCCTCAGTAGATGAATGGATCAAGAAAATGTGACACACACACACACACACACACACACACACACACACACACACACACACACACTGGAATTCTATGCCTTCATCAGAAAGAATGACATCGCCCCATTTGTTAGGAAATGTAAAGACAGAAAAATTTATATTAAGTGAAGTAAGCCAGACTCATAGAAATATAGGTCCCATGGTTTCCCTTATCTGCAATAACTAGCATATGTCAGGACAAGCAGAACAGGTAAAAAACTATGTATATATGACCATATAACCTGATGGTAAGCAAAATGAACCCCAAGATAGGGACACAAGAGGTTTTATATTTGTTGCTGTTCTTTTTAATGTACTTATATGTACTATGTAATTTTTTTTTTGTTTCTTTGTATGTTCTTCCCCCATGGTACAACCCCTGTTTTCACTGTATTTGATTCAGGTGCCCTGCATCTTGTATATACATTTTTCTAATTTAGGGAGGGGAAGGGAATAACAAAATGCTGAAATAAGGATATAGGATGACCCATTGTAACAATGAGATGTACAAGACAGTATATTGTAAACAATTGTGGGGGTGGGGAGGGTGGGGCAGGGTCAGGGAGGGGAAGGGAAAATTGGGGAGATGGGGAGGAAAGGAATGGTAGGGGAAAAATAAAGGAGGGTGTAACAATGCTTGATAGGAAATGGACTCATTACCTTGCTCATGAAACTGTAACCCCTCTGTACACTATCTTTACAATAATATATATGTATATATATTAAGGACAAATAAAAAAGAGTAAGGAAAGGCGAATCTGAGTAATGTGGTCAGATTAGGAAACAATTAGTTCTTGAAGTTTCAAAGAATGGCATAAATGGAAATCACAGAGTGGTTTTCAGACACACACACACAGTATAGAAGATTTTATGTAAAGAGAGAGTAGGAGAAAGATGAAAAAAAGAGCAAGAGGAAAATATGACATAAGGAGGAAGAGTGAGATAGGAGGGAGATGGAACAAGTGGAAAGGAATGAAAAGAGATACATTTCTTAAGAAATGGAAATGAACATGAAAGCTTGATATAAGAGTCTATAAAATGGTCTCTCACGATTGGCACAACAACGGAAAGAAACTTGAATTTCATGCTCATTGCTACCTTTCTCTCTCATCTCCTGAATTTCCATTTCTCCTATAGCCAATAGTCTCACATATTCAACATCCCACTTGAATGTTCCTAATGATCTTAAATTGGTCTTCTCTATCCTAAAACCTTCATCAAATATGCCATACTTGAACTCTATTTTTATTTCTACTTCCTTATCTTTTGTTTCAGCTAAGAGTCAGTACAAAGGAAAGGAATCACATGAAACTAGGGTTATCAGATTCACAAAATATGCTTATTATTCAATTACATCTCTAGTTAGCGTCATTGCAATATGAAGAGCCACCATTACATGAATTCTTAGAAATCTTGAAATAGCTACCTTGAAGTAGAATGAGAAGGACCATCCTAACCAGCTCTAGTTAGACTAGCTCAGCCTTAAGATTGAACCTTTAAGGTAGTTAAGGTTGTAAAGAGTCTAGAGATTATCACTTGTTTGGACAAAGAATCTCCAGTTCAGATAATGGGTGAGATACTTCTAGGGGCATGTGATCACCAATTGCAAAGCCAAGTCTAAATCAAAACACTATTTATGCTGAACTTTTTATCCTTATCATTTTCTAAAAATTTGTTGACCCCCTCCCTTATCACAAAAGACAGTTCCACCTCCAAGAACTTGACGGAGCTCCATGAACTCTCCCCACAAACGTTTTTATTAAAAAGCAGTTACAAAAAGCATGACAGACTAGGTATCTTTCAGTGAACATTCCTGATTAGGAAACTAAAAAATTAGTCACCACAAACAGGTTCCACATATTCTTGGGAATAGTAAGAGATTCTCACCATAGAGTGTGAGGCAGGCTGTTCCTGAGACCTTTCCAGAACCGAAGATGTTGAAAAGACACATGTAGCACCCCTCATCATCCAGAGTCGTGTTCCAGAAGGTGATTGCTGTGTTCCGGAGTCCCAGCTCAGTGATGTTGACTCTATCCTTATAGGCAGGCTGGACCACAACCCCACGGCTCTCACTGTAAGTGATCATGTTTTCTGGGCTTACAGCCTTCTTTTTCTGCCATGTCACAAGCAAGGCTTCCTGGGACGTTTGCAGAGAACATCTTAAGGATGCCGGTGTGTGTAGCCGCTCTCTTTCATCCTGGGTTATCACTTCCACTATGGAATCATGAAAGAATATTTTTATTTTCAAACGTTAATATGTATATGCATAAACATATGTACATTGCTCTGATAACAAAAAAATGTATGTTGAACATCAAAGAGAAAAAAATATAGAGAAAAATACAAAGAAGAAAACAAAATGGTGTTTACATACCTATAGGGTTGGTAGAAAAACGTTAAGTATGCTCAAACTTTAAAGGCAGAGTAGCAGAGTATAATAACAGGAAAGAAAATTCGTCATGGCTAGAAAATTTCAAGAATCCTTGAAAACTAGAAAATAAATGGAATGAGATTAAAGATGGAAACTTGGCAGTTCGGAGGGAAGGACCAGCCTGTGTGCTCATACGTGGAGAGGAAGAATCCAAGAATAAGAAAGGGCCAAAGCACACCAGGCAGAGTGATTAGTTTAAGCAAAGAAGGAATAGCTCTGTCTCTTTCTCACCCTTTCAACATGCTCCTACAGACACACTTCCCTCCTCCCCTCACTACAAAGAAGAAGGGAACAGCACAGTGGTACCTGCCTCTAAAAAGCAGGAGTGAAGAATTAAACAGAACAATGTTTTGGGAGATTTAAAGGTCTTGTAGGAACTTGAGGCTTGACACCCAAATGAAACTCTCTGCATGAGCCGCTTTGGTTGAATTCTGAACTGTAATTTCTTCTCCTCTTCAGTATTGGCCACTTATTCTATGACAATGTTAATAAGAAACCTCCATGGAATAACAAATAGCCAAATATTTGAATGATAGTAAAAGAAGAGAAACAAATGCTGTATATCTAAGAACTCAGATCAAATGAAGATTCATAAATCAATCAACAGAGTGCAACTAATTTATGTGATGTCTGAAGAACAGTAAGAAGATATTATAGTATAAAGTAAAAATTAGAGGTGTAGAAAGTAAGGAATACAAATTGCAAAGTACAAAATACAAGTTGATCATTAGAATGACCAACTTGTCAAGATAGACGCCACTAAAGAGTAATTTAGTAATCAGGAAGGCTAGACCATTGCATTTTCCCAGAATGGAGCAGAAATGAGTGAACACATGAAAGACATTAAAGAAAATTTCAATGAGTAAAACATCCTGACATTAGCCTAATAGTATGTCTCAAAAGGAGACAGAAAGAAGAATGGGAAACCAAGCACTCTGAGGAAGTTATTTTTTGAAACAATGATAGGAGCAATCCAAAGTAAGATATCTTTATAATGAATCCTCACATATCTAAAAATCTAAAAGACATAAAGCAAAACCTAACAGAACTGCAAATAAGAGTTTATTGATTCACAATCATCATAAGACAGCTTTCTATACCTTACTCAGGATTTTGGGGTCCATATAGTTTTAAAAAATCATCAAAACAAAAAAGTCAAATACAACAATACAGAAAATTTGAAGAAATATATATTTAATTTAAATGTATAACATTCCATATACTATGTATTTGCGTGTATGTTTCTATTACACACATACACATTCTATTTAAAAAGAAATTACAGTCTTTTCAAAGACACACATATGATTCTCAAAATTGAACTTGAATTTTTGGCTATTAAAATTTGCTACTCTAAGACCTTGGACACTTCCCATAGTATAATAAGTCCAGAAATTTAGTTCCTTTAATGAGTTGGCAATATCAAAAATCACAGTCTGCTGTAAGTTATTATAACTAAATATCAGTTTGGGCAGTATGTGTTAAAAATCTGTGTTAATAGGCAGCCCATTCTTAGAGGAACAAATTTAACCTCAATTAACTTAGTAGAAAATAAGAGCTATTGAAAAATGAATAAAGACATTTACTTCCAAACCCCTACTCCTAAAAAAATTGAAATTAAAATGGGAAGAAGTTAATGAATACGAAGGACAAGTAAAGGAAGGACACACAGAGCACAGACTTGACCCAAAGCATCACAATTTGTTATTTAAGCATAATGAAATAGATGAGATATTGGCAAGTCTGAGTAGAAAAAGGAGGGCTGCACAAATGACTGCCTGACTCCTGGAATGAAAAGCAAGATACGGCAGCACGCTCGACTCTCTGAGAGTTGTGGGGACTTTGATTTGTTGATGGGCATTCTTGAAAGGAAAGGAAGATTCTAAGAAGCAACACCTGTTGGGTTGCAGTTTTCAGACTGTTGACTTTCCTAGAGAAGAGATCTGAAGAAAGTGTTTTTCCCAAGTAGAAAGGGATCAAAACGAGGGTTCAGTTCTTGAGTGATCTTTGTTTCTTGATTATGGAAAACATCATTCAGTGAAAAGTTTACAATTCTTTCCTGCTGGTATGGAATCCTCCTAGATTCCTCCAGCCAGCTAGCATATCTGGTGATGGATACATCGGACCAGAGTTGTGGACAGATTTGAAGTCTGCCCATGCTTCATCAGCAGTCTCCTCCTGATGGTAAGCAATACCACCCTGATGATTTTAAAAGAAGGGTGAGAGCAGGAAGGAGAGGTGACCTGTAGAAAAGAGAAGATAAATAGAAGGGACACACACACTCTACACACAGATGTGCCTCTAATTTCCACAAAAAGTAGACCAAATCAAGTTTAAGCTTTACTGCCTTCTAAAAAGACTTTATCCATTCCTACTCCCTCAAGCAATCCTAACTCTTCACAACTTCAGATAATGACTTTTTAAAAGATTTTCAGTTCAGCAGTGAAGAGGATTTGAAGATTTTTTGTCTTCCATCGGCCTCATCTACAGAAAGTTTCTAAATATCAATTGTTCTTTGATACTGAAAATGAAAACGTGGCTAACTGGAAAGAACCATTGCCTCTCTTCCCAGAAAATGACATGCTTCAGTAATTCACACAGACAAATGGAACTAGCACAGCATAGTCATTAGTGGCTCAAGTTCCCCACCCCAAGCCACTGCATTGGCTGGACTCCTGGCAGGGGAAGTGACTGTCTTTACCTTGTGCTGTGCACAGCACCACAGCTGCCATCCCCCAAATCAGGCTGTAGCTGGACAGATGATAATAGGGTCTCCTGAATACCTGAAGACAGAAAGCAAAGTACAGAAATAGGGGATTGCATTTGGAGAAAGCCAACGAAGCTTCATTGTAATCCTTGTTCAGGGAAGGCTATAGGTGTGTGTGTGTGTGTGTGTGTGAGAGAGAGAGAGAGAGAGAGAGAGACAAACAGACAGACAAAGAGACAGAGAGAGTGTGTGTGTATGTATGTGTGTGTGTATGTGTGTATGTATGTATGTGTGTGTGTGCGTGTGTGTGTATGTGTGTATGTATGTGTGTGTATGTATGTGTGTATGTATGTGTGTGTGTGTGTGTGTGTGTGTGTTGGTTGGTTGGTTGGTTGGTTACCAGGCTTCTTACTCAGCCGCTTAGTCTCCCTACATTTGCTTGCTACCATTTGAGCCATGCCTCTGATCCAGCATTTTACTGGCTAATTGGAAAGGAGTCTTTCAGACTTTTCTGCCTAGGTTGACTTCAACATAAATCCTCTGATTTCAACTTCCTGAGTAACTAGGCATGAGCCAGTTCAGTTAACTGACTAGTTAACTTTTAAACCCATTGAGAGAATTTTGGTTTTGTGGGAACAGAACCAGAGCTAAAAATAGAGGAAATAACAGAGTGCTCAGGATGTGGGTAGGAAAAGCCATGGTGTGGTGCTTCCATGATAGCAACTGGCCTTTAAAATTCGGAGCCCTGCTTCCAGAGCCACCCCGTGTCAAGAGCCATTTCTCAAAGACAGAGGATCCCAAGAAAAACAAACCACCTCCAGTAAATGGAGAAAAATATACGGAATACAGGTGTTAGACAGCGGCCATTTCCCAAATAGCTTATATCTGTTAATGTTAAGAATGTTAAACTTGAGGAAATGCTCTTTCCAGAGACACATGAATGCCTTGAGTCTTATTGAGTAGAATCATCTATAAATTTCATTTAAATTATACCTTAAGAGAAACAATACTGGCTTTAAATTTCATTTTTTTTCCCTCATTGCTTTATTTTTTTAGGTCTGGGCAGAAATTCTTGGCCTTCTTAGAAGCCATGTTGCTATAAAGGAAATGCTAGTCTAGGCATGGCTGTGTTATAAAATGAGAGGGCAGAATGTAGAGATGAATTTCCCCCCACAGTTGCTTTATGGAGCTTTATCCTTTATGGAACCAACCTAAGACAGACCAGCAAGAAATGTAATGGTTCTACATATGATATTAATATTCTTTTTTAAATAAAAATTTTTATTAAACTATTAAGACAAGTCATTTCATCCAATAGTTCATATAAATCTGTAAACAAGGTACTGCCATTACCATCATGTCCAAAATGATGCTATATAGTGATCTGTGATATCATCAACATCGCCACTACATCACTCTCATTCATCCCCTCCTCTTAAAAGACAATTAAACAGGTGTCACGCTTCTATTTTCCTACATACATATAAAGTACTTTGGTTATATTCACCCTCTTTGCCCTCTCTGATGTTTCTCCATCCTCCTCCACTTGTCCCCCCACATCAAAGCCTGTTTTACTTTCCTGTCATTCTCATTTTGGGCATTTATTAATTGTACAAAGGAGGTTTTGCTATGCTATTTTCCATATGCACACATAATAATTTTCTCAGATTAACCTCTTCTCTTGCTCTCCCTTTCCCCTTCCTTCCAGCTCCCCATTGTTCAATTGTTTTCAGTGAGTTTCCTTATGGTATCTTCATACATGGACATGTATGTTTTTTTCTACATTGTTTTCTATAATAAAGTTGGTACAAAATGTAAATTTTCTCAATATTGTTCTTTAACTGAACTCTATTTTGATTGTGTGTTGGCATTCAACCTGAGTTAGAAACTTAATGCAATCAGTGTTACATTATCTCTGTCAATTCAGCCTCCTACCACCCCAACACTCTGAGTGTCGCCCTCATGGGCATTGCTAGGGGCTTATCAACACCAAGCTGCCAGGCTGTGCTGCTACCTACAACCATCTATCTAATTGCTGCTCACCCTGTGCTTCCCCGACCCCAACCACCATATCTATTGATTTGTGCAAGTTGTCTCTACAAGGTGAGCAGGAATTCTCTTGTGATCTTCTATGCTATCCTGCTGGGTTCCACCAGTGCTAGATGAAGGGAAATCATTCGAGGCCTAAATGTGTATGTCTCTATGGATATTTAATTTTCTCTTCCTTTGTCATGGTGGATGGAGAACAGGTGTATCACTTCCCACCATGCCCCCAAGGGGCACAGCTTTCTTTTCTCAGATCTCAATGCCTACATGCAGATTCTACTTTCCAAATTTCCCATTGCCAGGGATTGGATACCTGGCTTCCTGTTCAAGATACAAGCAAGTTGCTGACTGTAGATACCTGTCAGTTCCTTTTCACTCTTCCAGACTGGAGAACTGTTATCTCTCTCTACCTGCATTCCTCAAGTCAACTCTGTCTAGCATGAACTTTTTCCCTGGTTGTTTAGCATCTAGGTTTTCAAAATGCATATGATTAGGCTGTTACTATTGCAAAACTCTGGCTTCCAAAATTTGTTTCCTGCTTTGCTGAGGTATATTTCTTCTCAAAAGCACTGAATACATGACTATCTTATCTGAAAGGCCTGGGCTATCTTATCTGAAAGGCTTGGGCTATCTTATCTGAAAGGCCTGGACTATTTTATCTGAAAGGCCTGGGTATAAAATAAATTACTGCAACTTGAAAAAAAAACAAGATAATATTCAAAATAGTACTGGAACTTAAATTTTTCATCAGGTGGTTAAATCACTAATGATTATAACACTAACATTTATTGAACACATGATATACCAGATACTCTTCCTAGCACTTGAGATAAACCATTCATCAAATATTTCACATAAGCCTGTTAAAGGAGCACTATGGTGAATATCATTTCCAAATGTTGAATCTAAAGTGGAGAAAAGTTTAAAAAAAAAAAAAAAACCACTTTCCTAAGATCATGTAACTAGCAAGTAGTGGAGCAAAGATCTGAACCCAGACAGTCTGGCTTCAGAGTTCATAACCACAATGCCATATGGATAAAAGATGGCTGATTTTACATTTTAGACACAAATATACAAAATTCAGTTGTTCCTATGTATGACCAAATGACTACTGTAGTGAGAGATAACCAAATTCCTCCTCACACATTCTCCAGGAACAATATGCCTTCGAAACTCACATCTGAGAAACAGTTGATGGTGTTTCCAAAGAGCCATGTAACTGCTGGTGCCACTAAGTAATTTGGAAAAGTTCTATCCGTCATAAAGTATTCTCACCTGCTACTTCACCAGAGCCCCAGGCTCCTGTATCTACTCCCTGATCCTCAGCACCCCCAAACTTACTCTGATCCATGCTCTTCTCTCTGTACCACAGAGCTCACTTCCCAATCCTGGCAGTACCTCACATCATCAGGCTCTTTTGTATTTTCATTCTTTTATGTTTTACTTCCACCTAAAATACTTTCAGGATTGGATTGAAAGAATAAATCTATGAATGACACCAAATCCATCATTACTTTACGCAAAGCAATTTCTCTTTTGGACATTGATCTCCCAGAAATCAAGTCTAATTGGACTTCCTCCCTCTTCTCAGATTTTTAGTTAGTTACTCTATACACTCAATCTTCCCAGGTGAAGCCCCCATTGGATAGCTTTAACATCATGGGCTTAGCTCATGGCACTGGGTGTTTTGTGCAGTTTTCTTTTTTCCAACTGAGCTGCTGTCAATAACTCCTGTGTTTATTCTATCATCAGTCATCTTTATTGAGTATGCCCCACGTATGTGCTTTGAAGACTGTGGTGAATACAGCGGATACAACCTCCCACTCTACTGAGTTTATTCTCCAGTGTATGCATATATTTCTATACAATTGGATTAATTTTCCATAAATTCATTTTTGCACAAGCTGTTGCCCTTTGGGAAAAAACCTTCTGTGGCTCCTTGCTGTTTAGAGAAAATAGTTCAAAGCTTTTATTTTCATATTTCCATTCATCTTTCACTACCCATATCCCCTCTTAGCCAGCTAGCCTTGCCTACTTCTACATGTACTACTCAATTTCTTCTGAGTTGTCTTTTCCCTGATTTTAACTTTGGTCTCACTTTTCATCAGCCTGATTTCAGTGCCAGTGATCTTTTTCCTCTGAAGCCCTTTTCTGTTTGTATCTTTTAGTGCTTGTATCTCTTTAGTGCTCCAAGGAGATTCAAGGTTCTTCATCTGTACTTGAGGGGTCTTAGCCTCCCATATCCACTGCCCATTGCTTCTTCATTTGTCTGAACACACCATTCTGTTTTGCAACTCAACTGATGACATTTCCTAACTTGCTCCCAGGCTGTGAGACACTGCTCCCAAGCTGGCCACTTGCCTACCACCGCCACTTCCAGCTGTCATTATGCTCCTTCTTCCAGTCAGTTTGGACAATCTAATATTGAGCCATGACCTGCAGATCATGGAGGCTGTGCCCATTTCCTGGGGCTAGGACGTTTGGCTAATTCTTTGTGTAATTCTTTGGCTCAGTGTATTTTTGCTATTGCTTCACCAGAACCTTACTGTCCACCAAACCCTGAAGTTGAACAGGATCTCATGACCGCTCTTCCCTTGCTCTGATGGATGGCCACAACAAATACAGTAAGGCCATTCCATTCTGAATGTATCTATTCTTATTAGCCTTGCTACTGCAACCTGAAGCTTATTTCTAAGTGATTGGACCATAACCACTATAATGGCCTTAGGGTCAGACTTGGTGTCAAAGGCTGGAATGTCACAAGAGGGAGTTTCCTCACATCATTCAGATTAAGCCCTGGTTTTGCCATTCGTTGGAGATGTAGTAACTTCTCTGCTAAAGTTCATTTCCTCCAAAACTCTAACTGGGTTTTTCTGAATGCTCTGAAATTTCTCTAGCTTTACTATGGTCTTAATGGCACCCTTCTATCTTTCTCTCTCCCCCGCCACCTCCGTGGCTTTAGGATCTGGTAGAGATTTTGAGGATCTGAACATCTTCTGTGTGTCAGCCACAATAATTTTGCTTCTCTTTTCCTGGTCTGTGGCGGTGACCCAGTGTTAATATCCTCCTTCCTTCCTAGTGTATGGACTTGTTAATTCTGGTTCATATATGCCTTGAGAAATAGTCCTGATGTAAAACTTAATGGAGAAGTAACAAGTCAGGGTAGACCAACTGGTGTTGCACAAGCATTAATCTCCTTAGGTAACTTTGGATTTTCCTAAGTAGAATGGGGTAGAAAATAAGCTGGACAATATTGATAGTAGTCTTCCCTAGGGGTATAGCTTAAAGAAAGTGGCCCCAATTGTCCTGACTTGGGTCAGGACTGTCTCATTGTTCCTGGTGACAGTTGTACTCTGCAAGTGTCTGTGTGTGTGAGAGAGAGAAGAACTGGATTATCCCATTCTGGATGAGGATCTGACTCATTTCACTATCATTGCCAACACAGTCTCTGTCACATGGTCTCTATACTCTTTCAGAATGGATGTCCTGAAGAGACATTCCCATGGCCCACCTGTAATGTCACATCATACCCAAGTGCCTTCTTGTCTTTAACCAGAGAGGCTCAGTCACTTTAACTTTCTGCCTAGAACGCACAGAGAGTCATCACACCCCAGCACTCTTACTCATCTCTGTGGTGTAGCTTTTTTTTTTTCCCCTGACATTTGTAAGGCTACAGTGAATTAAACCTCTGATCATTTGAGGGAGCCTTAGTTCAAGTGATCACATAAACAAACTTGATTCCCAGGCATACCATGAACACATTACACCTACCTTGTGTCATGTCTTCTTCTCTGTCTTCACGAGTGTATGGCCAACAATAAAGCCATTTCACTTGAGGAAGGCAAAGATGACTCCCTGTCTGGAAAGATACTCATCCTACCCTATGCCCACTTTTCTGGTGCCTCTTCCCATGCAGTCATAGGCACCATATTCAGGAAGGCTTTAGTTTTGAATTGGCCCTGGAATTACTAGACCATTTCCTCAGTATTACTGGCACTCCTCTCATCTTATCTTACTGTATAGAAAAGTATAAAGAAAAAAACAAGAGTCCAGTCTTCCCTCAGACTATGGTGTCAGGACCAACCATTTTGTCTTCTTTTCAGCTATGGAAATCATGGTGACAGATATTGGCTTCCTGAATTCTACGCCATTAGAAAAAGAAATTATGCCTTATACTACATGTAGAAATTCAGGCTGTAGCAGAGTCTGCAATGAGGGAATGCCAAATAAAAAAATCAGTGATTCAGGATAAGAGAAAAACCAGACTCATTCCAAAGTACAGACAGGACTGGGTACCCACAATGTTAAAAACACAGAGTCAGAAGGAAGAGGAATCAGAAGGAAATCTTATTAAATATACACAGATTCCTTTTTATATAATTTCCCCTCTCTAGTCCATACAGAATCACTGAAAGGGCTACCAACTTGAAAACAGCAGGATTTCTGTTTTTCAGGGAGGCAACCTGACATTGCTGCATAATGAGCATCAGGACAGACTCTAGCTGCTGTGCTGAGTGTTTCCTAAAACCAGTTCTAGAAGGATGAATTACAAAGGCTAATTACTTTATCTCTGTGGGACTTGGGGAAATAACAGCACCACCCTAATGGTTATGAAGATTAAATGAAGTTCAGGTGGGAGATCTAAAATTTACAATACTATAAAATGTAAAAATTTTTGAATGCTGACATGACATCACATTAGGAAATTCCACCCTTGACCTCGTGTGGTTTAGTCATAAAGCAGAAAAACTACACAGATTTTTTATTAAATTTACTGCCAAGCTATCAGCATAAATCCTGTGACATGAAATGGATGTCATGTTTAGATTTAGGGCAACACTATATACAAATATGTATATAATGCACATTTCACTATATATAGGTCATTCTTTATATTTGTATGTATATTTTTCATTATGTATGTTTAAATATTCTGAAATCCCTCCCCCCCAAAAAAAAGAAATTTTTAAAAAATCCATAATAATCTGGTACCAAGCTTTTTGGATAATGGCTATTCAACCTGTAATGGATGTACAACTCTTAAATACATTTTGATACAAATAAGCATTAACCAATGTTGCCTATGACAAGAATTAAACATGCAAAGCATTTAAGTGCCTAGGATTTAACAAGTGTCAAAACCTATTAGGTCTCTACAAAGATTTATCAGTCAAGACATAAATGGAGAGATAGATCATGAAAACAAAGAAATCCACTTATAATTCTTGCCAGGGAAGGCATGGTTCACAAAGGCCTGGGTTTTACTTGAGAAACACCCACCTGCAGGTATGTGTACCTCTTCCCCTAGATATTTCCAGATCCTTATCTCACCCCATAGAGCCAGCAAGGACTTAGAAAAAAATTAACATTCCTGGCTATTCCATCACTGGGCAGAAGGACAAGGCCAAGATGAAAAGCAGCTAGCCAGGCAGCAGTAAGACACCATTCTCCTTTGTTAAGGAGCATAGAGAATAGCAGGCCATGTGATATTCCTTCCTAGTGAGCTATATATGAACATTTTACCTTGAGGTTTTAATTCTATTTGGATTTATGCCTCATTATACCATTGGAGTGTATAAGCTCCCTCCTCTTTGATTCGGACATGTAAACTGAGCCTGCAAATAAACAAAATGTCCGCGTCTGGATAGTCTGGGTTTTAGTCTTTTGGTGAAACAGGATCACTGCGCGTTTTAATATCAAGCCTCACCGGCTGCAGCTTTTCTGGATCTCTCATGGCTACCCAAGGGAGGGACCAAAAGGACCTGTCAGGCAAGAAGCTGAACATCCAGAGGAAAGGGGCTTGGAATCCTGCATCCCTGCCCTGCTTTGGGGAATCAATACCCAGGGCAGTAGGCGCCGCACAGTCCCTTCCTGCAATTTAAATAGGCCAAGCTTTCCTCCCGGGGATCTGCGGCACCGCATCAGTTCCTCCAGGCATACAGCGATCTTCGGGCGAGGAAAAGGGTCCCCGAGATCTAGGATCTCGGGCGGCTCCGATCCGCCCTTTGAAAGCAAAGGAGGGCGTCGGCATCCACTACAGCGGACCCGGCGCTGCACCACCCCGGGGAGCAGCCCGGCGCGCGTGGCCCGCTGGCCCCCTGCGCCCCCGGGCCACCAGCTCCACCTCATCCCCGCGTGCGCCCTCCGTCCCACGCCCTGGTCCCGCTCACCAGTCTGTCCATGCTTGCTCGCGATGCAGATGGAGAAGGGGAGGAAAAAAAATGCCGGACTGTTTTTTAAAGACCAGGATGACTACAAGCTCTGCCGAGGAAGTGAGGATGTCGGGCGCACAGCGTCACCTGCCCACCACAGCAACCAGTGGCGCACGCGGCCGCCCCCCAAGACACGGAACAGGCCCCGCCCCAGCCCGCCCCCCCCCTCCGCTCACCCTCCTCCCATCCTTCCGCCCGAAGTGCCAAAACAATGCTCTTTCTCATCCTTGCCTACCTCTACCTCTTTCCTTCTTTCTTTCTTTCTTTCTTTCTTTCTTTCTTTCTTTCTTTCTTTCTTTCTTTCTTTCTTTCTTTCTTTCTTTCTTTCTTTCTTTCTTTCTTTCTTTCTTTCTTTCTTTCTTTCTTTCTTTCTTTCTTTCTTTTCTTTCTTTCTTTCTTTCTCTCTTTCTCTCTTTCTTTCTTTCTCTCTCTTTCTTTTTTATTTTTGAACTGTTCAGAGATGGGGACTGGTAAAACTGAGAACATGCCCGGAATATATTGTATGTATATATATACACATGTGTACACACACACACACACACACACACACACACACACACACATGCTACCTGTCTTGAGAAGAGAAATGGGATGGGAGGTGGGAGAATTGTTTCATTGTGGTAACACATGTGGTAACACATGTAGATTTATTTTTTTTAATTCAGAATCAAATTATTTAGTCTAGCAATCCATTTTCATGATGCGATCAGCTTTTCTCTTTATTGAAGTTCTTCCTTCCACCGGTGCATTCATGGTCAGGGTTCTTTTTTTTTTTTATCTCAAATTCCAGAGTTCTTCTGTCATAAGCAAAAACGACAAAGAAAGTGATCAATGAAGTGTTCCGCCTCCAAAAGCGCATATATTTCACTACCAATATTCCTTGGCAAGGCGGCAAGACAACTTTTTTTTTGTTTTTTTTTTAGGGGAGTCCATAATGCTTGTCTTTCTTCTCTCTTCCCACCTTAGTGAGGAATGATGGACAGGTTGAATGCATACAACCGTAGCTCTATACAACTTCAGAACAATAAAGCCCTTGTAAAACCATCACTGCAATCTATACACATGCCTATCCACCCCCTCCAAAAGTTTACTCACTCTATTTGTTGTAACCATTGTTTGTAATCACATTTAATATAAGATATACTCTCTTGGCAAATTTGAAGCATACAAAACAATATTATTAACTATAAGCACAGAAGATCTCTAGGATCTACTCAATTTGAAAAAACAAAATTTTATATTTTAGTAATAAATACCTTCTGGCTTCCTTCTTTCCCCCTCCCATATCCCCACCCCAGCCTCCACAACCATTTCACCTGATCATTTTAGATTCTGCCCATAATTGATCCTTCCCTAGCTGCTTGGTCAAATGAAACCTAGTATTCAGAAGTGTGAACATTATGTCACACTGCAACTTCTGGAAATAAAGTGAGAAAAGTACAAAGGGAAATTCTCAAAAACTTTCTTTCCATTTGGAAGTACAGTTTTTTCCCTCAAGATAATTCCATTACTTTGAATCAGATGACCTATGAGTAGGACAATTGACAACTGTAACTTAGGTAGTATTGTATGACTGGTCCTGCAGTATGTAGCATCGCAGACAATGGACAAGTTATAGCCTTCATAGAATAGCTGCATGAATTTGGGCTTAATGTTAAGGGCTTCAGATAAAGGACAATGGATCAGTAACAGGACTAAACACACTGTCCCTATGAGGACTGAATAATTCCTAGAGTAAATTCTCAGTGCTCATCTTTATTCTTCTGTGAGGCCATCAAGGGCTCTATACTTGACAAGTGATCTGTATCTCCTTTAAATTATTATTGTTCTTATTTTGTTGTTGGTCGTGGGGCTCAGGTCCAGGGCACTGTCCCTGAGCTTTTCTGCTCAAGGCTAGCACTCTATCACTTTGAGCTACAGCATCTCTTCCAACAATGTACAAGAATATTTACACATACTTTCACAGGAAGAAGAATAGTAACAGCACTAATGTATGTCCAATAGGAGGAGTCAAAAGAGAAGAGGAAAAATTGAAGGTGGTAATAATAATAATGGTTAACTTTTTAGGAACACAAAAAAAATAAAATACGAAAGACATTGAAAAAACTAAATTGCTCATAGAATACCAAAGAAGATACCAAGAGAAAGCCAACTTATAGGTATACAGTCTAGTTAAAAATTGCAGGTCAAATAAAAGAATTAAGGAGAGAATTATAAAAGTTTCAAAACTGAACAGAACCACGACAAGCACAAATGAAGCAGAATTGTAGGACGGTAGATGTCACTAGGGAATTTTGGATACAAGAAGGAATGAGTTAGTATCCTCAATGCAGAAGAAAACTAAATTCTACTTTGGCTTTCACAAAAATTACTGCATGGGCACATTAAAAAAAACCATTTTAAACTAAATGCATCATTCATAAAATTCACAATTGGAGTGTTGTAAATATGCTTACATGGACAGAATCAAGATTTTAAAAAATTAAACATTGTTAGCACTGTATAGCTTGCTCCACCCACCTACCTACTCCTCTTCTGTCAGTATCACACCCCACCATGATGGATAATCACTCAGATCTAACATCATTGTCTAGGCTTGCCTAGTTTTGAACGTTAAGCAAATGTTTTGCAAAGTATATCTATGTATCTGAATTCCCTCATCCAACTGAAGACTTGAAATTGTCATCTATTTTTTTAACATATAGTTGTAATTCATCAATTTTCATTGCTTTATAACTATCCCTTTGTATAACTATTATGTATCATAGCTATGAATTTATTCTGCTGAATTGGGTATTTGTGTTACAAAATTAGTTTTCCCCCCATTTTTTTGCCTTTTAACAAAACAGCTTATGAATATAATGCATCTTGATCCATGTCACCCAAAATGAAGCTTTTCTCATAGTAATTCTATACACATTTTCCTTTTTTAAGTTATCATTTTTTATTTTGTTGTAAAAATGCTGTGCAGAGGGGTTACAGTTACGTAAGGCAATGAGTACATTTTCTGCCGAGCATTGTTACCCCTTCCCCTGTTGTTCTCCCACTATCCCTTCCCTTCCATACCTCCCACACTTCTCCTTTCCCCCACTCCACCCCCAAACTTGAAGAGTTCCTTGCCAATATACTGTCTTGTATACACATTTTCTTTATATGGATTTTCATAAAAGAAGTATAGCATGGCATTAAACTACTATTGATGTTTGTTATATATGTTCCTAATTAAACTTTATTTTAATATGTTTTTCTAATTAAAACTTAATCTTAACTGTTCTACATTCTTTTTTGGTAGGTAAATATTATTTTAATGGGCCTTGATTTTTTAATCTACTAAAAGTTTTGATCTTAGATTTTATTACTAAAATATTATATAATGATATAATGAAAAATATGCCTAAGCATATAACCATCAGATGTATTCATTACATCATGATTCTCCCAGACAAAAGAAATATTCTAATAAGAGGAAAAAATTAATCCAACAAGGTCACAAGATATAAAGAAAGGAAAAATAACTTGCCAAAAGTTATTACTGCCTAAAAATAGGTAAGGTCCTCAAAGTTGTATGTATAATAAAATAATGAAATGGTTCAATTTTACATGGAAGAGAAACAAACATTAGAAAAAAAGATTATGGGAGCTACGGAGGATTATGCTAAACTGAATATATGTATTGTCTTTTGAAAGAAGTAAACAGCTAAAGAATAAAGACTTGGAAGTGGCACTGTGGCTCAAGTGGTAGGGCACTAGCCTTGAGCTGAAGAGCTCAAGGACAGTGCCCAAGCCCAGAGTTCATGCCCCACAATCAACCAAAAAAATAAAATAAAATAAATACTTATACTTCAGCCAAGTGCAAAATGGACAAGAGATACAAAAATGAAAATAAGAAATCAAAATAGAAAAAAACTACAATTTTGTCATTAATTATATAAAAATCTGAAAATAAGACTGGACACAGAAGAATGAACAAAGAGGGAGAAAAATCCCTGCTATTGGGAAGTGAAAACATAGTTTTAAAATTCTTTGGGAAAAAAAGATAATTGCTAATGTCATTTAAATATATTTTGTAGGGAAGGAAAGGTTGGTATTTAAAATTCTCGGGCAAATTTAAAGGAACACTCGGAATTTTTTTAACTATCATCAAGTAGTGAGATTAAGCAAAAGAAGTAAACAGTGAGTCTCACAAAGTACTATAATACTGTAATCCCTCTGTACACGACCTTGACAATAAAATTAAAGTACTAAAATACTGTAATCCCTCTGTACATGACCTTGACAATAAAATTAAAAAAGGAAAATTCAAAGAAGATATAATAAGACTTGGGAAAATGCCAATGAAATGAATAAAAATTGAATGAAGATAAAACAGTCTTTTAGAAGTTGATTTGGTGAATCTGTGGCAAGATTTGTAGTGGAAATGAAAAATAGAAATAAAACTATAGAAATGAATGTAGCAAAGAAATAATAATATAATGTTATGAATAGCTGCATCATTTGAAAATGTACAAAAAATAGATACATTTCTTAAAGTGATAAATCAGTAGCTGGGCCAGGTACATACTTGTAATTCCAGCTACTCCTAAGGAGGTACAGGTAGGAGGACTGAGAGTTCCAGCTGTCCCAGTAAAAAGGCAGCCTATTTCAGAAGTTAAATGTAAATAAAATTAAGGAGGCATGACTCACGTGGTGGAGAGCTTGTGTGGCATGTACAAAGCCCCGGGCTCAATCCCCAGTACCACATAAATAAAAGGAAAGATACAAATAAAGAAAGGGAGGGAAGGAAAAAAGAAGGAGGAGGAGGAGGAGGAGGAGGAGGAGGAAAATGTTAGGAGAGAAGAATAGGAAGGATAAAAGGAAGGAAGGAGGAAAGGAGAGAAGGAAAAGGAGAAAGAATAATAGGGAAAAGGAGAGGAAGAAAGGAAGTATCACAAACATTTTAAAAATCAAGTGAGTCAATAAGTTTGAAGGCAATTAAATTAAAATAAAAGATTTCCTCATGGTGGGGAGCCCAGATCCTGATACTGAAGAGTAGAACTCTCTGTCTTTTATATACATCCCTTAAAAGAGAATTATAAAATTA